AGGAAGGAATAGTAGGAAGGGGAAAGAAGGTTGTAGGACAGGTGTTTGGAAATACAATGAGCTGTACATTTCCGTTTGCCTTTGCGAAGGGCAATAGGGAGAGCAATGTCAGAGAAGGTATCCGAAGTGGTAGAAGAGGGCTGACTTGTTACCTCAATAGTGATGGGAGGAGCAAGAGGCACATCTGAAGGCATGGAAACAACTTGCATGTCTCTGGTACAACCTTTGAATAATAGGATGGGAAGGAAAAGTAGGGGGATGAGTAGGAGGAGGAGGGGGAGCAGGAACATGAGAAGATTCAATTGGAGGAGACTTTATAGTTGATTCAATGGGAATTGGAAGAGGAACAGATGGTGACAATGCAAACAACTCCTCTGAATGCTCCCCCTCAAGAGAAGTACTAAAGAAAGGAACAGACTTTGCAAATGTGACATCTCTAGAAACAAAGCGAGTGCCATGAACCGGATCAAAACAACAGTATCCCTTCCGTGTGAAGCATATCCCAAAAAACACACTTGTGTGCTTTAGGCTCAAACTTATGTCTCTGATGACTGTGAACATGGACATAGCAAGTGCACCCAAACACTCTGAGAGGAAGAGAGAAGAGATCCTCCTCATTTAGGAAAAGCAAGCTAAAGGGAGTTTTAAACCCTAGAACCCGAGAAGGCATTCAGTTTATCAAGTATGTAGCAGTAAGGATAGCATCACCCTAAAACTTAACAGGAACATGGGAAGCAAAAAGGAGACTCTTCGCAACCTCAACCACATGTCTATTCTTCCTTTCCGACACTCCATTTTGTTGAGGAGTGTAGGAACAAGAACTCTGATGAGTAGCTCCAAAGGTATCAAAGTAGGAAGAAAGGCTCTTAAAATATTCCTTTGCATTATCAGATCGAAATATTTTGATCTGAGTGTTAAACTGGGTAAGTATAAGTTTATGAAAATTTTGTACAATATTTGGTACTTCATCTCGGGTTTTCATAAGGTAAATTCAGGTGTAACGAGAGAAATCATCAATGGAAAGAATGAAATATTTGTAACCCCCCATAGCAGGTAAGTGATATGGCCCCCACACATCAGAGTGCACAACATGGAAAGGAGAAACAAATCTTTTATTACTCATTGAAAAAGATTGTCTACAATGTTTTGCAAGTTCACATGACTCACAATGAAGACTCGATAGGGATATTCCCTTAAACATTTTTGGAAACAAATGACTCAAAGCAGAAAAAGACAAATGACCAAATCTGAAATGACATATCATGACTCTATTAACTGACTCTGATAAAACAGACTCCAAATCTACTTCACTAGGTAATCCAGGGCTTTGATCAGAGACATCCAACAAGTATATCCCATTCGCCTCATGGTTACTCCTAATCGTCCTCTGAGACTTTAGGTTCTAAAAAACACAATAAGTATGAAAAAAAGTTATGTTGCAATTCATTGATTTTGTTAAACTACTAACAGATAAAAGGTTAGTGCTAAGTTTGGGAACATGAAGGACAGAGGATAATACAAGTGAGTTGGAGGGTTTAATATTCCCCTTGCCAGAGATGGGAGCAAGAGACCCATCGGCAAGAGAAATCTTCTCTCTATCCTAGAGGAGCTAGTATGAACAAAAAAGGTTGGGTATGCTAGTCATATAGTCTGATGCAATATAATCTATGATCCAAGGAATTCTACGATTACCTGAGGCTATAGCATGATTCGCAAAAGCACGGTTACTTGAATGGGAAAAAGCGGATGTAGAGGGGGTGCTTGAGGAGGAAGATGCAACAGTAGACTCCAAATGGTTTATCAACTTCCCATATCTCTCAAATTCTACCTTCACTGCTTCTAACTGTTCCACAACAGATTTTTCTTCACATTCAGATACTGTAGCAACATTTGCATTCTTGGGCTTTCTAGACTGACCACCCTTCTTAAAGTTGTTGTTGCGAAACCTCTCAGGAAGATGATCTGGATGAAGTTTCTAACAAGAATCCTTCATATGTTTCGGCTTCTTGCAATATTCACATATCACCTCCTTTTTTTCATTTATCCCCTTTGGTTTTATTCTAGCATGTGCAAAATGTTCTGGAGGAGGTGGGATTTGTAGCTGTACCTATCGTCTGCTCTCTTCATTGCTCACCATAGAGTATGCCCGAGCAAGTGACACTTCATCCTTGGTCAGGATGTTCTGCCTTGTAATATCAAATTTAGGATTGAGTCCTGTAAAGAATTCAAACACCCTATTTCCTTCTACAAATTTTCTGAAAGTTTCTGCATCTTTGGTGCTCTCCCATACAAATGCTTCCATAACATCTATCTCCTGCTATAGTGACTTCAACATCGAATAGTAGACAGCCACACTCTTCTCCCCCTGTTTTAAAATTTTCACATCATTCTTTAGTTTGTAGGCCCTTGCAACATTTAATTTCTGAGAGTATGTTTCTGTAACACTATCCCAAATCTCCTTGGCTGAAGTCATCCACAGATAGTGTTGACTTATGCGGGGCTGCATAGAATTTACCAACCACCTAATAACTATGTAGTTATCTTGCATCCATTTTTCATATGTAGGATTAGTCTCTTCTGGCATCACCTTACTACCCGTGAAAAACCCTAGTTTACCTCTACTACAGACATGGATCTTAATAGATTGTGCCCAAGCAAGGTAATTTGTTCCGTCAAGTTTAATTGTAGTCACTCCTGTCAGAATGGAATCTACGGGACCAACCCCCGACACCGGGATCTGCTCCACCTCACTTCCATATTGCTCCATCAATCAAACGAAAATAAAAAAACAATGTTTTCAACCTTTATAGACCTAACTAAGGTTAGTCAAGCACTAATGACCCAAAACTAGGGTTTCACCGTACCCGGCCTCCGGGGAGAAAGAGAGAAGAGGTAGCTGCTCAAACCAGAGCTATCCAAACCACTTCCAACTGCAACTGCTCACTTTTGGAGATAAAAAGGAACCCTCCAAGCCTCGAGTGCCACACCCAAACAGCCTCTTCAACCCGTAACTGGAAATTCTCTAGTCAGTTAGGGTTTTGGGAAAAAAATATGCAGTCCCACTTTCTTGGCAACTTTTGGCCAGATTCTGACTCTCCAAACCCTCTACCAACTAGGAAAACAAGATCTCTGAATAGTCAGCAATTTATCTCTCCATACAATTTTCGATTAGAAAAAAAGGTGTATGGGAAAAAAAGGGAAAAGCAGAAGGGAGACCTACTCTGATACCAAGATGTGATTCAACTAATAAAATTAGCAAAATAATTTAGATTAAAGCAAAAGAAAGTAAGGAAGAAGAAGAAGACAAGAAGAAGAAGAAGGAAGATTGGAGGAGAAAGGAGAAAGAAAGGAGGAGTTTGATAATCTCCTCTTTCCCCCACTAATCTTTTAATTATCTTACTTAGGTTACATAATTTACAGGATTGCCCTTAAGTAGGCGTCCACATCAGCACTATACTTAGAAAACATAAATAAGAGCTAAAGGCCCAATAAGAAAACATACCAAGAAAGAACTGATAAGAAACACACTAATGGGCTAGGGCCCATTCGGCCCAGTCTCTCTACAAAATTCTTTCTTCTTCTTGCATTGGCCATAGCATGAAAATACTTTGTATTCCTATCTCCCTCTTGAATCCATTGAACCCTTGATTTTTGTCTCCAACTAATCTCCTCCTTCAACAAAATGTCCTCCAATTGTCTCTTAAGCAACCACCTTAATACCCTATCTCTCTCCTCTAATAGACCTTGAGACTCTCTGACATCCACCTCTTCAATTTGATCCACAACCTCTTGTTTCTTTAGTCTAATCTCCCAAAATGCTCTAAGTTCCAATCTTTAATCCTAGCCTTTAGAGCCTTCAACTTCCCATGAAAAAAATTCCTTTCCATCTCATTCTAGGTCTCTCTCCTTCCCACCAAACCTTCACTTTTTGAGTAAACCCTGGATGATTCAACCATATATTCTCAAACCTAAATGGGGCAGGACCCACACCTCTCAACTCCTTATAAAAAGTTATTGGCTAATGATCCGACGTTACCCTAGGTATGGCCCTAGATGAGAACCCACGCCAAAGATCCTCCTAGTCCACTGAGAATAAAAATCTATCTAATCTGGAACAAATAGGGTTACTTTGAAGATTTGACCAGGTGAATCTATGGTGGAGAAGATACAAGTCCTTGAGTTCATGGGAATTTATAACCTGATTGAATCTCCTCATGCTTGTGGTTATCCTGTCTCTGATCGTTAGTCTCCTGACTCTCTTCTGTAAATCTGAAACATGGCTAGTTGAAGGTCATAGCATAAATGACATAGACTTTGGAATATCCTATCCCTCTTGTTCCTTTCGTTCTTTTGGAAAGGGTGGACCGACTGACATTTTTGATGGCATAGGTGGTGTATCAGGTGTGGACCTGTGGTAATGAACTATATGAATGACACTTATTTCTTGTTATCTTTTAAGGAGTTTGAAAGTCTTAACTTTAATTGCTTCTGTGGGCATTGGACATAAGTAGTTGGGTTGTGTTAAATTTCCAGCATCACTGATATTAGGTTAGTAATGTAATGACAATTGATTCATGTGCAGGTCTTAACTGATGCAAGGTTACTAAATGCCTGAAATATAAGTTGCTATTGGATATTATATCACAAACATAATAAGATGCCAATGGTATTGCCTATGAAGTTCAATACCAGAAATTGCATGTTCTGTTTCAGCTAAAACTTCATCCATGGAAACTTTTATGCTTTACTCCACATTGTTTTTTTTTCCTTTGTGCAATTTAATAAGCTTCATACGCGGACCTCAAGATCCCAGTTAGCTGGACCAACATTGGGTGATGGCCTTTTAATAAGCTTCATACATGGATTTAAAACAAAGCATAGATCATTGATCTGTCCATTCTAGTCCTTTAAACTTATCAAGGCTACTCAGGCTTATTTTGTTGTAACCAATATGAATCCTTTTTCTGCTTTACTCATATTTGTAGTGCTTTCATTTACAGTGGGCAGAAAGTAGGGCCCTTGATGTGGAAAGCACCGGTATTTGCTGGTAAGGAGACTCTATTCACTAGTAAAAGAGGTAAAGCCTTCAAGGATCTGACCAATGTTTGTGAGGACACTGATGAACTTGTGGAAATGGCTTGGACCAATTCTCATCTGTTAACTCAGGTAGTTCCATAATAGTGAAATTATTGTTGCATTGTTGATGACAATAGACTTTCTTACTTAAAAATTGTATGGCTGTAAACTGTTTGATAATAGAAAAGTCCTTTGACTTCCATAATTTTCAGTGGTGACTGTGTTATTGATTCTACTGGATTTTAGGCTTTAACCTCAACCTGAACATTTTTTAAATGCATTTGTAATGGAAATTCTTATTTTTCTTTCTCTCAAGTACAGAAGTACTTTTATGATTATAAGTCATTAAGTCTTTTTTTTTTCCCCCTCAAGTAATTTTATGACTTGCACCCCTTATAGAATTAGGCCAACCTCTGCTGCCCTCTCATAAACCTGGTCCTTTTACATTCTTTTCCACCTAACAGTCCAATCCCCTAGGATGTTCCCCGAATACAATTGTTCCCTTTTATTTATGGGTAACTGAAAACCTTCTATTACTTCATTTAAAAAGAAAATAGATAAAGAGTGGTTTCCTAAAGCTACAGAATAGCAACCTACTTTTACATTACATCCCTTTATATTGTTACTTGGTACATATGATCCCTGTTCACTCCTCTTCTATCTAGAGAGTCAGCTATGCCACTCGCTGATCTCTGTACCCAGTTAAGTCATGCATCCATCTCCCTTTCCAATATTCTTATCTCTCAGGTTTTGCCTATAAAACTATGAACTTGGCTTATTGTACTATCAACCCTGTGCGTTGTATTGATTGTATTAATACTGTAAAGCTGTGAATGGTAGAAATGTTTCTTTTTGTCAAGAAGTGCACGGAATTTATCATTAGCCAAAATGAAATAGTAGGAATCAGACCAGAAAAACTTATAATAATAAAAGTACTTGAGAGAAAAAAAAGAACTTCCATTACATAGACTTTGAATGTCCTATCCCTTTTGTTCCTTTGGTTCTTTTAAAATGAAGTATTAGAAGGTTTTCAGTTACTCTTAAATAAAAGGGAACAATTGTACTATTGATAAAAAAGGGAACAATTGTATTCAGGGAACATCCTAGGGGGATTGGACTGTTAGGTGGAAAGGAATGTAAAAGGACCAGATCAATGAGAGGGCAGCAAAGGTTGGCCTAATTCTATAAGGGGTGCAAGTCATATATCCTTTTGCGTATTATTCATGTAGAGAAGATGGGCCGAATGGCCCATAGATTGTTTAGTCTTTCCTGTTATTTATGTTTCTTTTCTGTAATGGGCCTTATTCTGGGCCCATCCTGTCTWTATTAAGTTCTGTGTAAATTCTTGCCCAACTAAGGGCCTCCTTGTAATTATTCAAATATATCTTAATAAAAGAGTGTTAGGGTGCTGAGAGAGGTAATGTTCGAAACTCTCATTCTCAGAACACTCATTGCTGAACTCTCAAGCTCTCCTCTCTTCAGTTTTCTTCAATTCACAATCAAAATTAATAAAGTAGTCAAAAATTACCAATCAAAATAGATCTAAAAGAAGGTTTAGGTGTAGGGAAGAAAATCAAGAAAGTAACCTTTAAAGGTCAAAAGTCCAAATTAATTAATTACTGTCAAAGTCAAAAGTAGAAAGAGATTGAGGGAAGCTGAAACTCCTAAAAATCAATATTAAGAATTTAAGATTCAAGAAAAATGACGAAATAAACCAAAAGGAAACTAGAATAATCCAGCTTTGATTTTTGATCTAGAATATAACTAAAGCTTTTATTTCAGAGCTCTTAAGAATGGCACATACAAGATATGTGAATTTGCATGAAGCATAGGTTCAATTCAAATAGCTTGTCATTTCATCGTTACATAGACACACCAATACTTGTAGAATATAGGGATAAAGCATATGGATTGTTTCCTACTTATGCTTAAAAGGCCATTACCCAATGTTGATCCTGGCTATATGGGGTCTTGGCCTCTTGGGAGGGATGGACTGTATACTAACCTAAACTTTAGCATTTTTCACACAAAGTAGCCTTAACTGATATGCAGTTGTCAAATGCCTGCAATATAAGTTTGCCATTGAATATTCTCATGCTTGTTAACTTGAATATTATCATCACACCAAGCTATCCTTCTACTTTTGCTAAAACTTAGAAACAAATTACTACTTTTAAGACAATTAGAAATTTGAATACTTGTACTCAAGGTTTAAAAAACCACAATGTATCGGTCGATACGTATCATTCTGGTGACATTCTTATACATGGAACACTACAAATCAAGTAACTTTGTTCTTTTTCATCTGTATCAGATTGATATGGACCCACATCGGGTTGTTTTGGGTCTGTATTGACCAATACAGAATCAACATAGGCTGATATTTTGAATGTATCGGCTGACACATTCAAAAATATCTTGTTATAACTTTTATATATGTTATTATTTTTACTGGCCGATATTACCTTTTATATATTGTTATTATTTATAACTTAGGTAAGTCCCCATTACCATTTTTGTTTGAACAAAATTGTTTGTCTATTCATAAAGCTAACCTCCGTTGGTTCTGCAATCCATTCTCCTCAACCTGTTGTTTGCCATGAAAAATGAACTCTGTTGTTTTTGTGAATCTGTTGCTGCTGTGATCCTTCCAAACTCTACTGCTGTGAAATCCTTCCAAACTATACTGTCGTGAGACCCAAGCTTTGTCGCTGCTGCCCTGCCATGAAGCCCTAAGCTCCGCCGCTGACATGAAACCCAAAGTCTGCTACTGTGGTGAAATCCTAGGTTCTGCCGCTGCATGAAACCCTAAGCTCCACCATTGCAATGAAACCCAAGTCTGTTGCTGCTGTGTAATCCTAGGTTCTGCCACTACCATGAAATTCAAGCTCCACCACCATTAAACCCAAGCTCTGCTGTGGTTGCCATCGTTAGCAAGATACCAAGACCTTAGTGGCTAGGGGTGAACATTCAGTTTAATCAGTTAAAAACCAAACCAAATAAACCAAAATTTTAAATCCAAACTTGAAAAATGGAAACTGAATTACAGAATAATTGAAGTAACTGAAACTGAAAATTTTGGTTATTTCGGTTAAAATCAAATTTTAATAATATATATACTATATTATATATTATAACATGTAATGTATATTATATGTTATAATATATATATGTATATATATTATGAAATCAAATTTCATTATATTATATATTATATGTTATATGTATTCTATATTACATATTATATAGCAAAGTTTGGCTAATTTGGTTAACCAAATTTCTAATTCTAAAAACCGAAAGTGAAGCTGAAATATTCAAAAACTGAACTAACTGAACCAAATTAACCAAAACCAGAAAAGCCGAACTGAAAAAACCAAAACCAGAATTTTCAGTTTGGTTTTTTGGTTTTAACTGAATTATGCTCACCCCTACATAGTGCAAAGTTGCTGAAACTGAGAGAACTCAGTGAAGAGATCCCCGTTCCCTAGAAAAGGTACTCTTTGAAATCATATTGAAACTTTTAACTTCTCTTCCCCATCTCCCTCTACGTAGACATTAGACAATCCACGTTTCAGGTTTCTTCCTGTTTTTGTTTGTACACTCATGCTATTGAGATTTTAAGATTGATTTCATGGTAGAGAAGGGGATTCAAATTCAAGTACCAACCTTTTTCTGTTTTGTAATCTGATCTATAATATTGTAGTCCAAGTTCCAAGTTCTGAGATTTGTTGAGTGAGGCATGAAACATGGTTACAAACGCAGGCTTCAACCATCAACTGGAGTTGGATTAAATCTGATAATCCACGATATCCGATGGATTTGAATTCAAACATACAGTTTGTAGATCCGATTTGATTTCAGATAGAATCCGGATGTCTCATATATCTAATCGAATTGGACTTAGATGGAGATGAATCCGCTCTGATTACAGCCCTAATATCTATCCTTGAATTAGTGGATCTGCAAAAATAAAAAAGGAGTTTTGATGTGTATCGAGGCAAAAACAGTCTTTAGTTGAAATCTGATGTAGATTGAGAGGAAAAGAGAAAGGAAGAGAAAAAGGATAGAAGAAGAAGCATGCGAACAGAATTGGAGGAAGTCAAAGTAGGCCTGGTGGTGACCACTCTCTTATTTTATTAGGGTGACATAACTAAACATGAAAAGACTCTGCATTACTAATAAAACATAACAACATAAGTTTTTAATTATTTGGAATTATAAGCTTATTATCTAAGAATGTTTAAATAAAGAAAGGGGGCAATACCCAATGTTGATCCCATCCAGGGCCTTGGGAGGGACCAGGTACAGACCTAATCTCTAGTATTTTTTGCACAAAGTGGTCATTCTCAGACTTGAACCCATTTCTAATGCTTGTCAGCCTGAGATTTTACCATTGTATCAAGCAGTGACTACAAATTTCTAAATAAAGATATCCTAAATGATATATGTTTCCCAATTGGAACAAAAGCTCTTAAGATCTAGTTATATCCTATTTATTATATATGAAGAAAAAAAAGTCAAAGAATGAATCTTCTCAATATTTCATGTGTGACTGATTTTATCACTTATTATGAGAACCAACTTTTCTAGTCATGCTATTTGAGTATAATTTTAGAACTCTTGCTTTCTGGAAAAATTTCCCATGGTTTTTACTTAAACTAAGGATGCTTTTTGAGGCATAACCATCCATTAAATAGATAGTCTTTAATGTGGTATATATGACATAAACGTGGTTGCAGAAATTATTACCTCGGTTGGAAGAAAGAAAAGGAAGCTCTCTTGTAACTCAGAAAAGCAAAGGTCAAAAAACTTCAAAGCAGTACAGGTCGGGTACTGAAGATTGTTCTTTTGAGCCGCTTTTATCTGGCATGGTTGGAATGCAAGTAAGCTGCTCATTTCTTTGTATTTCTATTAGCCTTCTGGATATAATTTCTTTCTCCTCTGTGACCATTGTTTACACAGTTGTTTGTTTTGTTGAATAAATTTGCGCTTGGAGGTGATTTAGATATCTCTGAGCTTATGTTTTATGTAATTGAATTTTTTTTGTAAACAGCAAGAATCTAGTCCCCATCCATCTTTATTTTCAAAAAGACATAAAACAAATGTTGTCAGTGCTGTTGAAAGCACCAGTGCAGCTGGAACCACTAGAAAAAGCAGACGACTTGTGAAAAAGAATGCTTCAGGAGGCATTGTGGAGACTGCAGATTTGAATTTTGAAAAAGAATTTTACTTGACTGAAACTTCTTACAACATCAATCATGCATCTAATGATTCAAATGCTTTGAGGAATGAGAACTCATTGGCAGCCCAAGAAGCAAATAACAAAAGAGAACATGGGAATGGTGAGCTGGAGAACCTTGAAGACATTTCAGAGTTGAATGACATGGATGTTTCAAATAGTTTGGATAGAGTGAGAGAGCTTGTACTTCCCACTCAAGAAAGGACATCAGAAAATGTTTGTCCTGATATTGAGAAGAATTTGAATGAGGAATTTGAAGATGTTTTATCTGGAGAAACAGGTGAATTACCTACTTCAACAGATCTATCATGTGTCATATGTTGGACAGATTTTAGTTCAACGAGGGGTGTATTGCCATGTGGACACCGGTTTTGTTATTCATGCATCCAAAGCTGGGCTGATCATATGGTATGCATTCTGATCATGTTATGCTAATTTTCCTGATTCACTCCTGTGTTCTTGATGGCTTTATCTTATGAATAAATAGCAATGGTCTTGATCCTTATTCTTTTCTTTACCCTAAACCTTAAATACTCCTGAAGTTTCTATACATATTAAATACTCTATGGCTTTCTAAAAGATGAAACAATGTAGTGTTGGCCATTTGGTCCTTTAAAGTGAGCATATTGATCTATTAGTCTTGAAATTTGTCACATGCACTCAATTCTCTGGGAATGACCATAACATTGATTTTAAGAAATTTGTGAAATTCTACAATTTGGTTTGGAACTTAGATTTGGAAAATGCTTTGCAGAGGTTATTTTTCCATGATCTTTTGGCTACCAGTCATAATTTTCTTGTAGTGCATTTTTTTGGTATTACATAATATGCATCACAGGGGGATGCAGTAGTTGATATGGTCACTCCGCATCCCTCCACATCATGTAGCAGGCTTTCTGCTCTGTCCCCTTTATTCTGTGTCTCCATTTTTGGAGGGACGCTGAGTGACCATCTCAACTACTGACTGGGCTTGGAGTACATTTATATAACTCAGGATCATTCAAATTTAATGACTATCAAAAGCTTACCTTGTTCACTTCAATTTTTTCTGTGCCTGGGCTATCAATTGGTTAAACTTTTTGGTGGTAAGGATGAGAGAGTTAATGGTTTATGACCTTTCTACATTGGCCATTTTGTATAGAACTTACATTGTGCCTTGGACCTAAGTCCTTCATAAAGGCTTACATAAAAGTGATGATCTATGCAGGTTTCAAGAAGAAAAGTTTCAACGTGCCCTCTGTGCAAGGCTACATTTGTGAGTATCACAAAAGTGGATGATGCTGCCTCTTCTGACCAGAAAATATACTCCCAGACTATTCCATATGCTTCAGGAGCAACTGATGTTTTTCTGTATCCAGATCGAGAAATGTCAAATTTCGGAGCCCAGGTGAAGACCTATTCAACTGTATAACAAGTTAATTACTGGATCTATTTAGCATTTTTGAAATTAATAAACAAATAAATAACACCATGCCCTTTTATCATACTAACCTTTTGAGACCCTTCCATCTTTGATCTTATTAATCTTTTTGCAAAGCTGATTCAATTTCTCAATCCCTATCCAGGGAACTAGCAAGGGATGGGAATGTTAGTGTAAGACAGTTCATGCACAATAATGAGAGCAATGCTAACCATATGGCACATGATAATATGGGTACAGTTCCATCAACGTTCAGAGGGAGTTACCAAATACCTGGGCCCCACACAGTATTCCTCGTAGACAGTGATGGCATACTACCATAGGGTACCTCTTCTTCAATAATCCAAATTACATAAATAACTGAGACAGTGAGATCCAAGGAAACTCCCTATCAAAGCTGAATACTCCATTGTGACCTAAGTTGGCTAACCAATCAAATGCGTTATTGCCTTTCCTGCAAGTATAAATATATTAGATCTGAATCTCCATGTCCCCCACTGTCTTCATGCATGTAATGTGATAACTTTGACTCTCCATGGGGCACTGATCTCGTTCCGAAGGCTCCCAATAAATATCTTGGAGTCTCTCACGATCCCATCTTGTTCTAAAGCCATTGTTCTTACCCATTATTTGGGCCCCGTAGGTCGTTCACATCTTTTCTATGTTGATTGAAGTGTTTCCTACACTTTTTGCCATGGCTTTCGTGATTTTCCCCTATGATCTCTCATAATACACCCAATTGCATAGCTGCTGTTTTCATTTCTTGAAGCATTGAAATTGATTTTTATGACTCCTAGTTCCAGAGGGATCCCTTTTATCCATTTCCATGATTTCTACTTGTCATTTGATTCAAAATTCTTGATCTATTCCTAAAGATTCTTTTGTTTCTACTTTTCCATATGCCTATAATAGGTACAACACTTTTTCCAGTAGAAGTTGATTCTTTTCTCTTATTTATTATGGATTATCTTCTCCGACCATGTAAAGAGATCATTGTCTTCACTTGTTGGCTTATCAGTTACATCATCCACAGTCATCCGAATTTGTTTGTCCGAGGGCAATTTCTAAGAGGTGATTTGCTGTCTCTTCACGAAAGGGCAGTCCAAATCCCTTGTAATTCCTCAACTAACCAGTCTATTCTTGGTTGGCAGTTTATTGTTGAGAAGTAACAATGCGAAGACTTTGATTTTTGGGCTACATTTAAATTTCCATACCTTATTGCTTATAGAGCTATTTGCTTATTTAACATTTTAACTGAGAACATACCTCCTGGATCTTCTTCCTATCATATTTAGTTATTTCATCTTGAGCTTCTCCTGCGGGCAGGGGAATTGCCAGAATTTCATTTAAGATATTTTTTGGTACCATTTGTTGGATTCTTTGGCTAGAATTATTCTAACAGTGTGACTACATTCTCAAGGGAAGAAGATTATGCATATAGTTAATATATACTAGAAAACCTTGGTTAACCATGTGTAATTGTCCATATGCGCTTCATACATTATCCTTTTAGTGTGTATTTTCTTCTACACCTTAACTTTGTATAAAGCCTGCAACTCCACGTAATTCATGAAGGGTTATTGGCTTATTGCTGTTATTATATATATTCCCTGTATGCAATGCACAATTTGCGTCCATGCCTATTGCCATGCAATATTGGTGATACCTTGAAGATCTTGTGCATAAAATTGTCCATGTCAGATGTTCCTAAATGTGCATCATTACTCCTTTATTCCTTATAATTCTTGTTTTAGATTACTATCCATATGTTCCATTTTTCCACAATGCTAAAGGGATGATCATGCAATGGTTAAGATTAGGCGCAAGCCGTCTTTATGGTTATATAACATTAATGCAAATCCTACAAATTTACCTTTTACTTTGACATGTTATTGTGTTAATACTTGTGCTTTGGTTGTTATAACTAACTTTTTATATATTTTTTTTGGATTGAATAGCCCTTGGTAGTGTCTGTCTGTTTCAAATGTCGCTTTCGAGAACCTGAAGATCTGCTAATAACCTGCCATCTTTGCCAGAGTAGATGTGTACATTCGTATTGCCTGGACCCTCCTTTGGTTCCATGGACATGTGATCACTGCAGGGGCCTTGGAATGTTGTATCATAGCATCCGCTAGTTCTATCCTTCACATTGATGTTATTTGGTTCCAACTGTAAGGATGTCCCAGTTCTATATCAATTTTGTCCGAATAATTGTGATTTCTCCAGTATCTCAGCTCATTCAATTTGCAATATTTATGTGTTATACATACTGTTTCCCTGGATGGTGCACTACCCGTTTCTTTATGAAGCATGTGCTTATGTAAATTTATGGTATTCTAGTGTGCTTAATGACACAGAAAAAAAAAATAGGAAAACCTAAAAGTTAATTTTCATGAATCCATCAGCAACTTATATACAAAATAAAATTGAACTTATATTTTTTGTAGTTAATAGAAATAAAAACAAGTAAGATGCAAAATAATGAATTCTGTAATTAAAAATTATTAGTTGCACTTGCATATAATTTATCTGAGATTTGTCATTTATGGGTTTTCTACCATTCTATGATGAATGCCATATATTTTTGTAACTTCCAATTATTAATATGCTTTAAAATAATGTCATATACTCGTATTAATCGTTTAATACCGGGGTTCGTAAAAATTTGCAAGGCAATTAACCAAAAAAGCACTGAAGCACCATGGTTGAATTAGAGAGCACCTCTGGCATTTGGATCAATGTACCTACGGACGTTGATTACCAAAATGCCCCAGAGATGCTGCCTAAGCTGAGGCCGGATCTGCTACTTACACGGCTTCCAACATAGCCTAAATGTGCACATCTCAAACACGATGAGTCCAGATTTGCTTGACAACTTACAAGTATGGAGATGTTTCTGATATGCAGATCCAAGTGCGACTGTGAGGATGGTGAGTGAGGCACGCTTTGTGACTGTGAGGAGCAAATCCGATTCAAACATGACTGCAGTCTCCAAATAAACAGTATGAAATATGTTTGCGATGTGCAGCTGTAAATCATGTTGGAAGCTTGTGTAGGTAAGTCAGACCCAGACTCGCATCAGCCAATTAAAGTGTTTTACTTTTGAAGCAGCAATACATTCAGGGAATCAATTAGGTTTGTCTTCAACCTTGATGCTATGCTTGGTTTGACAGAAATAAGAGAGAATTCTTAACAAATTTTGTAAAATTCGTTAGGATCTCTCTCTTTCCAAACACTAGGTTGAGGTTGAATACTTCTCAAGATTAAGGCTTGGGCCTGATGCAGTGAAAAATAATCATCATCCGAAGTCGGCAATATGATGCAGTAAAAAATCTTTAAGTCTCACCAGCTATGACTCTAGGTCATGAAGAAATCGTGCTCAATTTTTTATGGGGAGTTGGAACAGCCGAACAATATTATTGTAGCCCGAACAAGGATCAAAATTGCGTCACGTATTAGCCCATATCAACCAATCTGTATTGTATCTAAGCCTTTTCGATACGCTCCTATAAGGGGATATTTCAGGTCGGCAAATGGTTCAGAAGATAGACCAACCTTAAATCGGCTTTTCTGAACTAATTTAAAAAAAAAAAAAAATACATAAGAAAACGGTACTGATACAGGCTGATTTGCCCTGCCGACATATTGACCTGTATCGATATTTTGAACCTTGAGCCCGAAATTAAAAAAAAAAAACAAAAACAAAAACAAAGTTAGTTCATATGGTTCCATAAATTCATTCAAATTCATATAAGACTTTTTAGTAGCTGATATGGTTCCATAAATTCATTCAAATTCATATAAGACTTTTTAGTAGCTGATATGGTTCCATAAATAGCAACGATATTTATACAACTCACTTGGGTGTTATTTGATTGCACTTTTCAGAGGTCTGAATCTGAAAATGTTGCTTTTCAGACCTCACCCCTTGTTTGGTTTTACCTCTTAAATATGGTCTGAATCTTATTTTTAGATTTGAAAATAATAGACTTTGGGCCGATTCTTAACGCGCTCAGATGCGTTTCAGAGCTGGTGCAAGGTCGAATCTACCCTTCTAATTTTTTAGAAATGACGCGCTACCCTTGATTACCCCAAATCCAAAAAACCTAATCATTTCTTTGGGAGGAAGAACGCCTCTCTCTCTCTCTACTGCAGAATCTGACGGGCGAACGAAAACAAGGAGAAAAAGAGAGGTAGAAAGGAGAGAGAGAGCTGATGGGCAAACGAAGAGGGAGAGAGTGGAAGAGAGGGATGGGTGGAGAACTGCTGCTGCCTGAAATTGCAGCGGCAAGATTGGAGAGGGCAAACTTTTAATGAAGAAAGAGGAGGAGAAGATAAGGAAGATAAGGAGAAGAGGAGGAGGCGGAGGAGAACTACCGCTGCCTGAAATTGTAGCGGAGAACTGCTGCTGCAACACTTGCAGTGGTGGTGATGAAAAATAGGAGAATAGGAGGAAAATGCCATGGGGAAGAAGAAGAGGAAAGAAAGGGAAAGAGAGAGAGAATGGACGGAGACCTACTACTGGTTTGCTGCCGCTGTCGAGAGGAAGGGGTGAGTGCACAATGTCGAACAATGTATTCTGGTGTACTTGAGAAGATGAAGAAGAAAGAGAAAAAAAAATAATAGAGAGGAAGGAAGAAGGAAGAGAGAAAGATAGGGAGGCTGGAGATGGGGGTTTGCAACTCTCTCTCTCACGCTACCCCTGTATCTCTCTCTCGTATCACCACCGCTGAAACTCTCAGCAACGACGACTCTCTCTCTCTCTCCCCATGTCTTCCTGCTTCCCGCCACTGCCGCTGCAACTTGCAGCGAAACCGAATCAATTAACTACCGATTCAATTAAAAATATAAAATATATAATATACATAAATATAAAAAAAATATAGAAATATATGTATACTGGTTGATTCGATTAACTGCCAATTTTCTATATTAGTTAATCGAAACCAAATCAATACCTTCGATTTTTTAAAAACACCGAACCACGAACTGACAGGTTTAACTAACCAATTTTTTGATTCGATTTCAGTCAATTTTTTCGGTCAGTTCAGTTTTTCAGTTTTTTTACTCACCCTTAGGGATAAGTGGACATATGGAACAATAGATTCAGAAAACAATGAGGGATCAAATTCCATAAGTTTCCCTTTTCCTTTTCGCCACCAATGAAATGCGATTTTTATTTCTCTCCACTTTGATCGGTTCTTCTATTTATTTATTTTATTCAAATCATCCTACACATGCCACTGTCATATATTGATGGTCCATTGGGATCACAGTATTAGACCAGATAGTTGGACTGCTTGGACTAAATAACAATCCGCTTAAGTCAGTTAAGTGATTTCAAATCCACATGTTAGTTGACGATATTTCAAGAATATTGTTTCTATGTAAAATATGATGTCGTTTCAACTTGAAATACTGACTTCTTTCAAAAAAAAAAAAAAAGTTGAAACAATGACACATCACGTCACATAAGCATTGTGATTTCAACGGTAATAGTAATACTGCCATAAGATTACACTTTGTATATTAACTAGAAACTAAATCCATGAAATGCTAGGGCTTAAGTTAGGTTTGGGTTTATGTTAAAATTGGATTTATGCTAAGGTTCATATTTAGACATTTGAAGAAAAATTAGGTTTTAGTTGGAAAAATTTGATTTTTAGTATTATTTTTGGTTTAAGTTAAGATTCATATTTAGAGTTGGGTAGGAGTTGGATTTTGATTGGCAAATTTTGATTTTTGGCATCAATTTGGGTTTAGGGTAAGATTCATATTTAGAGTTGGGCAGAAGTTAGTTTTTGATTGACAAATTTAGGTTTTTGTCATTAATTTGAATTAGATTCTGGTTGTAAAAATAAGATTTTTTGTGTTAATTTGGCTTAGGCTAAGGTCCATATTTAGAATTGGGCACAAATTAGGTTTTGATTGATAAATTTAAGATTTTTTTTTGGTGTCAATTTAAGTTTAGGCTTAGGTCTATATTTAGAATTGGAGATGGATTCCTATTAGGAATCAGATACAATTGATGTGTTTGAAAAAAAAAAAAAAAGAATTATGCCAACTTGTAAGAATCATAGGGCATAGACCCTAGGTCATAAAGTGGCACACATATTAATACAAGGGGATTGTGTGGTTAGAGTAGCATAAAGTTTACGGTGGGTCATATACTTAGGGCCCATTTGGTTCGCAATCAAAATCGGAATTGGAATGGCCTATTTTGCTTGGTTGTTTGGTTCAGGCCGGAGTTGGAATCGGATTCTGATTTATGCTGTTTGTTTATTAAGAGGGTGGAATCGGAATCAGCCATGATTTCCAATTTTGCCCCTAATAAAAATAAAAAAAGCAGAAAATTCATGAAAATACAAAAAAAATGCAGAAATTACAATAATTTTATAGAAATTCAAAAAAATGTATGAAAATACTCAAAATTTAGAGAAATTGCAAAAAAAAAAATGTAGAAATTTTGCAAGAAAAAAAATGCAGAAAGAAATTCTATTAAGAGGTGTCTAATAAGTGGGGTCCATCTTGTCTCGTAGTAAGTACCATGTGGTAAGTATTAACTCTAAATGAGGAGAGGAACTGTTGGCTGTACAGGGTCCAATACCACCAGCTCTTTGCAACTACAAATGCCTTCAGCATTCAATGATTCAAATATAATACAAAGCCATTTCATGCCAGAGATACAGGGAGAGTGTGCGGGTGTGTAACACATTTTGGTAGCAAACATGAAACACGACATTTTATTATTGTACCATCATCAAAAAGCATAAACCGGAATGGGAATGGCATTCTTTGGGTGGGGTGGGGAATGGGCATTTTCCCATATGGGGAATCCCATTCCGCCTAGAATGGGAATGAGATTCCCATTCCATTTAACCAAACATACAGAATGGAAATGAATTATTTCAATTTCGATTTAAAACACCTATTCGGTCAAACCAAACGGACCCTTAGTACTTTTAGTATGAATAATTAAATGTTGAAGTTTGAAAGCAGATATGTTTTTGATTGTTTGCCTGCAATCAAGTTGTTGATTTTCATAATTATAAGAAAGAAGGTTCTTGATTTTAATGTAAATAGCCAAATTGCAACGTTTTCTCTTGGCTAGTTACAAAAACGTGGTCTTCAAACCAAGGTGGTACATTGCCATTAACATTTATAGAACCTTGATTTTCGTGTATTTGCTCATACAGATCATGAATATATGTACTTATTTTATTTTGTTGTGTTTGTTAAGAGTGCGATATGCATATTTATCGTCATGTATAAATGTAAATTTGGTTTGAACCAGACTCGGCATAGAGCTATTGACCCGGCCTAGAAAAGAGAGAGTTTTATGGGTCAGATGTTTAATTAGGGTCAAGCCATGATTACATGTAATAATATTAATTTTTTTAATTCTTATATTAAAAATTAAGATACAAGGCTAAAAGGCTTTTATTTTTTTTTTGCAAAATATTAAAAAAGATCATTCCAATTGAACATTTGAATACAAATTTATGGCATTCAAAAGTTTGGATTTAAGTTTTAAATAAGATTTAAAAAAACTGGGACCAGTTTACTGGTTTCCGGGTGGACCGGTCGGGTTGACAATTTTGCCTGAATTTTTAGGACTTCCAGAAACAGTTTTGGGGGTATGGTCGAATTGGATAGGGGCCCGGGTCACAATTAAACTGGTCTGACCGGATGGGCCAGTTGAATTTTCTAAATAGTACTAAAGCTAAAGAAAAAAAAGGAGTCATACATTCTCCAATGTTGGTCAGTTGGTCCTGGTCCTAGCCATTTGGGGTCTGGAGAGTGGTAGACTGCATATATTCAAAATGACTACTCTCAGTCTTGTTTGGCAATATGAGATTTTATCTTTACACCAACTAATGATTCCTAAAACCTAAAGGTCCCATTTGAAAAGAGTATAAATAGAAATATATAGAGCGCAGAACTATGTATTTTATATGTATTTAAATTGTACGTATTTATATTTATATTCCTTCCAAACTGAGCCTAAAACAAAAATGAATCAAAATTTGCACTCTCATCTGCAACAGACGTACACACAGATATATACTGATGTTATCCTTAAATCACAACTTAGTTGATGAAATAGAAAAGAAGGTTTAGCATCAGAGGCTATCAAGAGGTGATGATGATGTTGTTTCCCCAATTTTCTTGATAAAGTGTGACATCTAATTAAAAACCAAACCTAATTTGATTTGAATCTGAATGCTTCAAGACCTAGCACACATGTTAGTCATAAACGAAATGCTTATACACAAATTGGAGAGTCCGGCTTCAGTCCAGGCACTTTCGGTGAGGGCAAGGTTCGCGCTAAACGAGGACGTGCCACGTCTCCTCCACTTACTTTAAAATGTTTGAAGCATGCGGAATGTTTAACGCCGTTAGCTTGTAAATAAAATCTGTTTTTTTGAGTCCGCTCTTCGCTCGAGTGTTGCTTGCAAATAAAATTCACGGACTGGCCATGGGTCAGGTCGGGTCAAAGTTATTTATTTAAAAATTAAAAAAAAACTTAAAATTTTAATTTAATATGAACTTTAATGTATACAATTGATTATATTTACAATAATTAAATAAAATTATTATAATAAAATTGAAAACAATTATTTATTTTATTAATATATTATATAATATATATTACTATATAATTATGGGTTGTTCCGGGCCATATCGACACACGGGCTGCGGACCTAAAACCCCAGGCCCAGTATGGCCCACATAATCGTGTTGGTCCTGATACGGCCAGTGTGCCATCATGCTGGGCCATACTAGGCCGGGCTGTGGCGGACTACGGGTAACACAACTCGATATATACCTCTAGCAGCGACAAACAACCATCACCAGTGATGGGGTCAACCTCAGGCAACGTCTTTTTTTTTTTTAACTCTTTTCCTTTGCATCTCTTCCTTGAAAATAAACCCTAATCGATTTGGTGGTTGCTATCCAAACCGGCCTACTTTTGATACACGTATAAAATTTATTCATTGCATGTTTATTCACTGTGCTTACAATGCTGTGCTTACCAGATTAAGATTCTAATTTACGGGCACCTGTCAAATTGTACTTCAACGTGGAAAATAAAGTTGTGTAAATACAATTCTTAGTATGTGCCCATCTCGGTGAGGAGCTCTTGAGGATGAGCTGTGTTGATCCCTTTCAATCAGGTAATAAACGTGTGATATGCGAGACCGGATTTGCTCCTCACACCTGGCGCCCCATATACATATCCTATCATGCATTGAAAAATCTTATTTTTCACATGCGAGACCGGATTTGTTTTCAATGCACGGTGGATGTGCATGTGAGGCGCCCATTTGTGAGGAACATATTAACCTGAAAAAATAATCATAATAATCACGACATCATTCCTAAGTCTATGTTTTAATTAGCAAGTTATTGGCAGAATCTGCTCCTCACACTTGGGCGCTTCACTTGCACATCCACGGTGCATTAAAAATATCTCCCGTGAAAGACAACTTAAAAGTACGAAAGATATTCCCAAATGCAAGGTAGAATGTACTTGTGAGGAACAGATCCAGTCTCGTTATTGTATCCTGGTAGGACTGACGTTTTGTGGCTGCGTCACGAGGGTGTATGCATGCCTGATTCAATGTATCAGACCCCTCACCCCTGTAGTTGAAAAGTCTTTATCCATATTTTTGAAGTAGAGAAAGTAGAGAATACACACCTTTTTGCAGCCCCACAGTCCTTATCAACCTTATATTTCTATGGGTAAAAAAAAGAAAGAAAACAACAAAGAAGAAGATTGGTTCTAAGCATCTCACAACTTAGTAATCCTAAATTCAAAATTAGTATAATCTGTTGTCGCCAAAAGAACTCTTTTTGTGTATCTTAATCATGTATTTCTAACCATGGGTTTCAAAACTGGACCGGACCGGATGATATCGGATTGGAAAAACCAGGAATCAGTCAGGTGACTGGTTCCGTTTTCTCCAAAAACCGAATTTTCCTCTAAAACCATTGATTTTGGTCAATAAACCGCTGAACCGGATAGTTAATCGTTTGAACGGTTTTGACCGTTTTTTATTTTTTTTGAATTTTTGTTATTTTTTTATCAGAACGGGTTGAGCATTTAATTCAGACCGTTTGAACCAGTAACCGGACTCCTGACCGATTCGGTCACCGAGTCGGTTTTAAAAACCTTGTTTCTAAATTCTAACTGATATCGGTAAAGTTTGAACTTTCAACCTTTTTTCCGGACGAAAAAATAAATATATTTTTTTCAAGTCTTTAGTCTATTCTTTCTCAAGCTGCCAAGCGTGAAAATGCTGGTTTGAATATGAAAAAATGCCAAACGTTAAAACCGTATTCTGTCCAGAGTCTACCCACAACACACTACCCCGTGAATTGAGAAGATCTCCCTCTGCATAATAGAGATATTCTTCATGTATGGCTGCAATAAACGTGGGCAGGAGATCCGAACTCCCCAGTCCACCCTTGGAAAAACCCACGTAGCGGGGAGCAATAGAGATTTTGTCCCCGTTAATTAGTAATTGGATTGGGACTGGTTCCTGTTCCTGCTGTCCCAAATCCATTCATACCAATTACCAAACCACCAATTATAATTGAAGTTAATAATATTATATACTTGGATTGAAAAACTCCTGTTCCTGTTATAAACTTCTGTTCCCGCATCCCACCACCACCGCCAGGAGGATCAAAAGCAGAAGGTAAGACCCTTTTATTTCTGGCAGAAACAGGAAGAAGATAATACATATAATTAATATAGCTATTGACAGTAGTAAAATGATAACTCAGCCCCATGAATCTCCAACAACTTTTTAACTCTTAGCAGCAACCAGCTGCATGCATTCGTTTCGATCGATTCAGTGGAGAGAAGGTTCGACGCGCATGGTCTCTGAGATCCTGATCCTGACGGAGTAGCTATTGGTAGTACTCTAGTACTGCAACCTATCATGGTTAGTTTGGTTCACCTTAGCCACCATCTTTCCCGAGCGTCGGAACGTTGGAAGGAAGAGAACATGAAGACTATCTCCTCCACAACCTCCTCATTCCCTCCGGAAAGCCTGGCTGTCATCCTGCTCGCCGGCATTATAGAACCCCGACAAAGGGGACAACTGGACTGCCTATATCCAATCCATCTATCCAAGCAAACTCTGTGAAAGAGATGCTCACATCTCAGCTCTCGGATCTCTTCTCCTTCTTCTATCTTACACAAGCATATGGCGCACTCTGCTTGTTTCGTCTCAGACTCTGCGGCAGGCTGATTTAAAGTGAAGTAGCGCCTCACGCCGGGATCTCCGCCAACGTCGTCGGAGGCATCGCCATTAGAAGAGTTGATGTGGAAGAAGCCCAATAACAAGCTAAAATGGGTTCTTGCCGTAGCTCTGTAACTGAATATTGGAAGGAAGTAGATGAACATGCATGGAATGAGAAGTGGAAGGAAAGGAAGAAGCAGGAGGAGAGACGAAGTCTGGATATCCATGCTTCTTCCTTGGAGTGAGTACCGAGAAAATGTTTTTCTTCTTTTTTTTCTTTTGCTTTGTATGTCTTGGAGAGAGGTTTGCAACTAATTTATATACGAATAGCATAGGAAGGAGGAAAGGAGGAAAGGAGGAAAGGAGGAAAATGAGAAGTGTAAGGCCGTTAGGAAAATGGATGGAAAATGTAATTTTTCAAAAATGCCCAACTTAACTTTGTAGACGTAGTTGGTGTTCAATTTGACATTTCAAGAGGAGAAATGGGCCTATTTTATTTTCTACTCTACTGTAGGTTTGGCAGTGCGAGGTTTTTGTTCCAAAGAAACCCAAGGTTCTTTTGTTTTGTTAGGGTTGGCAATCACCATATGCCACACATGTAAAATAAACAGTTTAAATTAGGCCATTAATGCCGTTTAACTTGTCAAAATTCTTGGGGGAAGAGGGATCCATTTACAACTTTTGATAGTTTAGGTGGTAAAGTGACACCCCATATAGTAGGGGTAGGGGGTGGTTTGGAGTTTACCATATAAAAATTTATTAAAGTACTGTGACTATGTTTGGTTTGAAGGAAAAGGTAGGGAAAGGAAGGAAAATCAATACAAGGTTTGTAAAGGTTTTCCTACCTTTCCCTTCCTTTCCCTATCTTTTCCTTCCTTTCCTTACATTTTCCTTCAAACCAAACATAGGCTTAAGTGTTAGGACTTAAGAGGTATAATTATGAGGGTGTTTGGTTCCGCTTACGTTTATTCAGTAAACGTTTTGTATTTGTGTGACTGCAAAATCAAGAAACACATTTAATGAGGGTGTTTATGACACATAGGCGCCATTAGGGCACCACATCAGCAAAATGCCAAAAAACACCTACCCGTTTCAGGAAAATTTCTGAAACGGGAGAGGCGCATAGAAACCGAAATTTGCTTTTGCAAACTTCAATACACACAAATACAATTAATGATGCATTTGCTGACGGGGCACTTATGTGGCATTATCAATAAAAGTTTACTATATGGAGCCATGCCAATCTCCAATCAAGAATTGACAGTTGTCTATCCCATAAATCAAAGACTGAGTTTGAATTACAGTGCTCCTTGTCATACCAAGACTACCACGAGAGTCGGCATTTTTTCTAGGCTTCATTGCCTCGAGTATTAGCTGAATGCAATAATTGTTCAATGGATTGTGGAATCAATGGTAATGTCCATTTGGTCAATGCCAGTGAAAAATATATGGAGCCACAATGAGAAATTAAAAGGTTGTAGGTTAGATGTATTTTATTATTGGCCTAGAAATACATTAGTTTCATAGCCCACTGAACAACTATTGCATTTAACTAATCCTAATGCACTTGGATCTCTTATTTACAAAATATTCTTCCCACGTCTCTAATATCCATAAGACTTCTATTAGAACTAGAACTCTAGAAGGCCCATTAGACAATTACAATTAGAATTCAATTAGGTGTCATTTTTTAGTTTTTTACTTAGATTAGAATTTAGAAAGTTTCTAAATTTTTATTTTATTGATTTACCTAGTTTTTTACTCTAGAAGSCCCATTATTGACACTTGTTTTTACATGAAGAATTTATTGATTTTATTCTTTACCTGAATTAAATTTAGATTTATCTTGGACTCTTGAATATCGAATTATCAATTAATTCAGATTTTATTTGGCTTTGTAAAGGAGCAAAACCGAAACCGACCCAACCCGACTCAAACCGACCAGGTCGATTTGGCCTGTCAGTGTGTCGGTTTCGATTCCCACCTTAGCTAACCCGACCAGGTCGGGTCGGTTGGGAAAATCCCAAAAAACCGACTCAACCCGACCCATGAACACCCCTGAAGTTATCCCTCTTCATATCTATGGTCAGCCATCTATTAAGTTTGATTGCCATTTAATTGGGCCCCATTAAATTCACAATTCGTGATACATCTCTGGTCTCCATATTGAATTTATCTCCCAACACTTGGTATAAAGCGCCACTTGGCAAAGGGATTGGGCCTATGCATCATTTAGTGTATTGACCAACCATGACATCCTTAATTGGTTGACCAATTATGTCTTAGTTGCCTTTTAAATGAGATTCCACATATCCTAATTTAAGATTCAGACCTTTATGGTCCGATGACAGATTTGAATTAAAAAAGAAATTCCTTTTTTTTTTTTACATCAAAGGAATTTTCTATTAGGCCCGCCAATGTTTTCTTGGTCTAATTGGGCTAAAACTTTGGTTCAAATATACTTGGATTGATATAGATTTTTAGTAAGATGGTTCAAAATCATGTAGTTTAAATTGGAATTTGCTTTGATTGATTGAGTGGACATTCTAGTAACTCTAAATTTTTTTAACAGAAGAGACAAAGATTTAAGATAATTAACTTTTTATTAACATTTAGATGATTGATAAAGAAAATTAAATAATACTTGAAGGACATTTATAAATTTTTCAAATGGGTACTGGGTTGTCATGTTTTAAAAATTTGAATATTAAATTGTTACATAAACCAAAGTGGCAATATCTCCAAAGTACATGCTATTAATCGAGAACTTTCCCAATATTTATTCAGTGCTTTGCCTATCGATTCAGATCCTAATTTACGGGCACATTTGTCAGATTGTACTTCAACGTGGAAAATAAAGTCGTGTAAATACAATTCTGAGTATGTATGGATCTCGGTGAGGAGCTCTAATGGATATCCTTTCATTTGAGTGAAAGTTTATCCAATTTCCCAAATTAAACCCATTAGACCCCTTTCATGCATGCCAGCCTGAAATGGTGGTAATCATAATAATCACGATACCATTCCCAAGTCTGTTTTAATTAGCCAAGTAATTGGCACCATCACGCCGCTGAAAATCTTATTTTCCACAAGCTCGATCGCAGTCGCTTTCGCTTCTAATTCTTAGAGTCGATTTTTCAAATACAGTATGTCATGGAGTAGATTTTTCATTTTTCTTTAGTTGATTCCCTTCTCAATTGGTCTAATTCAACCAACCAACTATTTGTCATCATCCATCTCTATTGTCTGGGTCCAAGCTGAATCTTTTTGGTTTCTAAATTGTAATGCCCTCTTTATTTCTCTTTGGATTTTTTTTCCCGATGTTTGATGCTTGAGAATAGACTCTTCATGTGCATTGCTTGCTTAGTCTTCTCTCTCTGTCTGCCCTGTAGCGCATGAAAAACTGAAAAATCATGGTCTTACATGTATTGCAATGACCCCCACTAAGACTTGGTTTCGTTGATTCAGTGCAGCGCTGCTACAAGTATCATAGCAAATGTGAATTAATTTAGGGTAAATTTTTGACAAGTATCATAGTAAATGTGAATTAATTTAGTGTAAATTTTTTAAATTATCCTTATGGTTTAGCTAATTGACTAAGTGTATCTTTACTGTTTGAAAATTGATTGATACTATCCCTATTGTTTTTGACAATTGAATAACTCTACCCTTACCATTAACATCTGCTAATATTCCGTAAAAGCCCGAATACACGCGATACCATGTAACATTTAAAATTCTTTTAAAACCCAATATTACCCTTCCCTCATCTCCTTCCTCTAACTGACAACACCTTTCTCAGACCAGAGGAGTAAATCAAAATCCATTTGTACGGATTGGATGGACCAATAAGACATTGAATTTGGATAGATTGAACAGACCAATATGACATATTGGATTGGACCTGGTTCGTCCATAGTGAATTTTTATTGGATTGAGCCAATATCTAATCCATTGATAGAAAATAAGAACATAGGTGTCAATGGACCAGGTTTGAGTTGAAACCAATCTAAATTAATAGGAATTTTAACAAATTGGATAGTCTCTGAACCGGTCCAAAATATTCATTGGACTGGATTGGACCAGGTCCATTTGTAATGGACTCACATTGGACTTGACCGGATTGGACCAAATCCAGTCCAATTGACACCCCTATCTGGGATCAATATATAGTTGGTGGCCTCGGCCTCTGTGTGGTTGTGATATATAGCTTCAACATTAACTGTTGATGGGGATTCCTGGTTGGAGAATTTCCTTCCATATCTGATTGCAATATTAATGATCGAAGTGAGTGTCATTTTGTATTTGTAGGTATATTTAATTTGGTCCGTCTCTTTGCCAATGATATCGATCGATCCATGGTAGCTAGGGGAGGGGGGGTTGTGAAATGGTGGACCAACAATGTGGGGTGTTGTTATGGTCATTCTTTTCAGACACATGAGCTTGTCTACTACAAAAATATCAACTCAAAAAAAGAAAGCTTCATGAATTCCATCTTTGGGTCTCCACGTTGGGCAGGCTGTCTCTCTACGTGACAAGCCTGAATAGGGGTATCCAGTACAAGCCTGAATAGGGGTATCCGAATCCGATCTGAAGAACCCATCAGGAGTGATCCGAATTCAGCCAAGTAGGATCAGTTCTTGATTTCGGATTAGATAGGATCCGGTCCAATTGCACCCCTATGCATAAACGCCCCAAACGATGTTCTCAATGCACGCTGAGATGTGCATATATGTGGGGCGTTTGTGGGGGCGCAGATGTGATCTCCTTCCTTCCACCGGAAAACCTCCTTTTCCTGCCGGAAACCACTTTTAAATGGTGTTACTGTATCTGAAGAATTTTGAAGCAGGAGAGAAGCAGCTTATCCCTTGTTTTGTCTTCTCCCCTCACCTTCTCCTTTCTCCCGTCGAGCTCCTCTCTTGCAACAGTGCCACTGCAACCATGAACCATAATATTGCCCGTTTTGCTCCTCCCCAATAAGTCGTTATTCCTCGATCCAGTTCTGGTTGTCCTCAATCCATTGTTTCTTTTTTCTCTTCCACAGCAACCGCAACCACACCCATTCTCACAATACCAAGCAACGGGTTAGAGCCCTAACCACTGTGACCATGCGGGATTTCTCTTTTACAAAACATAAACTAGAAATTAACAAATTCAAAGTGTTTTCTTGGTTATCCTGCATTGACCTTATGATATATATTTTCAACAAGTCACCCATTTGTGACGTATGGTTCCATGAAAATCCTGACCACTCTTATGTTTTTTCAAC